CCAGCTCGCCATCCTCAAGCACCAAGTCTCCGCAGAGCGCTTCTCGCAGCCCTGGTCAGCAACAAGACCTCTCACCAAACGATCGCCCAATCATGATTGGAATCAAACTGCCCGAAGGCACGGAAATCCCACAAACAGCCATTCTCGAGACGGCACCCCAAGACTTTCCGCCCAAGTATGAAAGACAACCTACAACTAGCCCAAACACTGTCACTCCCTTGACTCCTTCACAGCAAAGATCGGTTTGGAGTCCCGACACACCAGATTCGACTGTGTCGTTCAGAGCGCCGCGAGCGACTTCTAGCCTCTACTCGCAGGCGACTGGTCTGGGCGTCGGGATTCCTCATGACGCGCCTCCAGTCCCGTCCGTGCCCTCAACTTATAAGCAGCAAGAAAGGATGGTCAGTATTGTTCTCAAAGACAATGAGGATGACGACGAAGACGGCGGAAGCCCCTGCACGTTGTTCGAGGAAGACGGCGTGGCCGCCAATCGCCGGAAGTCGGTCAAGGCCAAGGAGGTCTCAAAGAGTCCCGGAAGCGCTGAAACCCAGACTCGTGGTTGGTGGGATCATGTTACGACTCCATTCATGGACAGAAAGAGCCCCATCGCTACATTCAAGAGTGAATCACAGCCAGTCAAGCAAACACAGCATGACGACTGGTGGAGTGAAAAGGTGCCAGAGGTTGCGGCACCCAAACCTACATCAACAGAGCCCACCTCCATCGTCAAGACAGTTGAGATTCAGCAAGTTACTGTCCAAAGACCTGGCTTGCCTGCATCGCCGAAGCCGTCGCCAAGGAATATTCAGGCGCCAATCGTCAGAGTTCCTACCCCCAGGAGAACACCATCACCGCTCATGGACCGTCGCGAACCGTCCCCGGCATCGTCTTCCCGTTCAATCACCCCGAGACCTGAGTTCTCATCGGAAAAAGTGGCCATTGCCCAACCCAGCCCAGCGCCTTCAGAGCTGCCTCCCCCATACTCGCCGCCTGAACAGCAGAAAGCCGTCAGATATAGAGCCGTCTTTCCTGCGGGCCATCCCCTTCAAGCACTCTACCCACCCTCACCAGGCCCCATCTCCCCCGCCATCAACGGAACCATGAGTTCTCAAGGAGCCATCAACCTGACCGACATTCCTCTCACACCAGCGCGTGCCGATTCTGGTGGACAGAATCGCCTACCCGACCGAATTGCGGGCACTTATGTACCCCAAGAGCACTTTCTCCCAGCATCCGGACATGCTCACCGCGTAGAGAGACAGCGCCGCCGCCATGAGAAGGAAGAGGTGGTAGCTCGCAAAGCTGGTGGCGCCTGGAAGGGTCGCGGATGCGTCCCCGCCGGTGGATGCTACGGCCGCAGTGGCCGAGAGGGCCGCAAGAGGAGACGGGTATGGCTGGGTGTGTGCGCTGCAATTTTCGCAATCATCCTGATCATCATCCTCTGCGCGACGCTGATTCCGCGGGGAGGAAGCCCTCCCCAAATTGACAGCATCTTTGTCAATCTCACCGACTTTCCTCCTATGCCGACTGGAGTTCTCTCCGTGGTTGGCCCTGACAATACCGCCGCCGTTACTGGATGCAGCAGCCCGTCTACAGTATGGAGCTGCGCGCTACCGAAGGAGGAACAAGAGTCTGTAGCACCTTTCCGCCCCAATCAGCCGACGTTCGTCATGCAGATCCAGTGGGATAACAGCACCCGGAATCTGTGGAACGTTCCCAATGGAGAGATACCCGTCCCAGGATCAAAGACTACGAAACGCAACGAGAAGCGAGGCAGCCTGATCGCCAGAGCTGGCGCTTTCATCCGCCGACAAAACCCGGCTTTCAAGCCCAGCCCCAAGGCTCCGACTTTCCAGGAGATGTACTTTCTCGGCAACACAACTGATGGTATTGTCTCGAGCGAAAAGGGTGGCGAACCGACCCCCTTCTTCCTCAGCATCCTCAAGTCTGCGAATGAAACCGTGGGACCTAACGCCATGGACAAGCGCCAGGACTCGTCCGGTGATATCTCGGTTAACCTTCCTGCCCCCGACCTAGAGGCTGACGGCACCGGAGCTCCCGCGCAGCTCTTTCCTAACGCTGTACAACAGCCTGTTCGTCTCTATGACCGCGGCTTGCCGACAGAACACTACGGTTTTTACACCTACTTCAAGCGCACCATCTATCTCAAGTCCGTAACAACCCTAAACGGTAGCGACGAGACCGACGTGCCCCTTGACGAGAACGGCGGCTCTCGTAGAAGCGAGGCCAAGTTCCTCGTGACGTGGTCGCAGACGCGTTTCCTCGTGCAGATCTGGACACGATCGGACAACAACACCCAGCTTCTTGGTACCCGGAACGGGGCCAGCTCAGAGCAGCCTGGCACGATGCCTTACCCCGTCACCATCAAGACGGACACCCATGGCGGCCAGTCGGGCGAGAAGTTTGTCTGGCACTGGCCGGTCAACGACAGGCAAGGCATCGATACCAGCGAGCCAAAGTTGCTTCCCAACGACCTGAGCTTCGGAGGCACCAGAGTGAACCCACGTAAGAACGATGACACATCATTTGGAGGATTTGATGGCGGCACTGGTGGTTGCCGTTGTGAATGGGCGAATTTTATTGCGAAGAGAGATACCAATACTAACTGAAGGGCATAAGTTTATGATGAAGCATGGAAACGGATATGGATATGGATATGGAATGGAATCATCATTGGACTACAAGCGAGCATGGGACATGGAGGGATGGATATCAAAATGCATAGTTGCATCTGCATAGTTTTTTAATCAAATATCAACTAAAGCTCATATTGAACAGGAAGGTTTCAGTTGAAAGATCGCCGATTTTTCCTCGACTACTTTTCTTGTAGTTATATACTCTACCTTGCCGCCGTTGTCGTCTTTGTCGTCGTTATCGCTTCTACTATCTTTACTTCTACTATCGTAGGTACTCTATTGTCGTTCTCTCCACCTTATTGTCGTCTTCGATGAGAGTACTTAAGTACACAGGATGTAGCAGCGCAGACATACAAAACTCAGGCGGTCTCTCATTGAATCGCTCAGATCCTCTTGAACAAGACTTTAAGCTATGCGATTAATCTTTCGTGCCGCGTTTGGTGGACCCCCGAGTGACATTTCGAGGTTGGGAAGATACCAGAAGGGGCGAGCTGAAATTAGGTAAGTCGGGAGTCCCCAGCCACCGTGGCGGATCCCAATGCTGAGCAGTGGGGCCTTCGACCTATCGGCGCCACACTTTCCATCTAATCGCGCGATTGGCGCCAGACGGAGGGTCCAGGCCGCGATAAGCACGTCGTTCCCCGACTCACGCTAGTGGCTTGGACAGGTGCATGTGCTCAATCAAGGTGCTAAGGCACGGCAAGGTATTGGCAGGTTGGTTGCTCGTGTGCCGTAACCCCTCCAAATATTCCTCGCTTCATCACCAAGATCTTTGCATATTCTGCAGCATTACTTCCCGCCTCATCGCCAACCAAAGCACCAGCTCAGATGCACGCTGCTGTCGCTGGACGCCTCTGCCCAGGTAACGTTGGACCCCACCATGTCGGATATTGACTCTTGTTTCGTCATGCTGACTTATCACCGTCAACAGCCTGACTGCCGATTCAATCCACGACTCGCTCGCGACATCGACTGATTGGCGCAGAAGAGAAGAAAACTTTGAAGCTTGACACCGCGGCGTACCGAATCCCATCGACAACGCAGACACACTTAGCGTTACCGGAGACGATGCAAACATTCTAAGATGGCGAGTCCAGACGGTGGAGCTGCTCCAGCTTCCCTTGACCTTGACGATCACCGCTCGCGCGAAGATGGAGACTCGATATCGGGCAGCTCCCACATAGGGAGTGACGCTTCGGATAATTCTTTAGAACGGGAAGAGTGTCGCTGGCGAACTGCTCGATTTCACGATATGGAGTGCTCTCGCTTCTTCGACTGCCCGACTCACGTCGTCGAGAGGCATCTCTCTGGGGACGAAGATGAAGACGAAGATAGCAATGCAGGAGAGGGGCCGTCACGTCAGCTTCAGACGGTCAGTGACAGAGCCGAAAGCTCTTCGAGCACCAGTCAGGAGCCACGAGTAGCGATCTCTACCGTGACGGCAGGTTCTCCTGAGCGGGACCCAACAAGCTTTGCGCCCGGGCCTGAGGAGACCAATACGGAGCAAACGCCGGAGCCAGCAGAGGCAGCACGGGCAACTTCAGCACAGGAGATCGAAGAATCTGAAGAGTCTCAGGATCCCGAAGAACCCGCGCCAGCACCACCTACACCACTGAGCTCGCGGCTGTCTGAATCCTCTGTTCATTCTCAACCTCTCCCACCAACAGCCACGCCTACTCAACCCACCGGAGAGTTCGTCCCGCCGCAGAGGACTTCAAGTCTGGTCACATCCCAAGCTGCAGCTGTATCAGCGCAAGAACTACCTCTTCGCCCAGCTCTGATACCTCGCCGATCGCAAGAAGCGCCTCCTCCGCCGCCCAGGAGGTCGAGTTCCTCATTTGCTCCCTTGCCTGTGCCGCGCAACCAACAATCACCTGAGGAACGGCGAGGCCCTCCGGAGATCAACTTGCCACGGTGGCAGCCCGATGCAGAAGTAACCTACTGTCCAATTTGCCACACGCAATTTAGTATATTCGTTAGGAAACATCATTGCAGGTAAGTTTGCTTGGTGCATGTGTCAACGCGACTCATGTTCTGACAGTGCTCAGGAAATGTGGCAGAGTTGTTTGCAATTCTTGCTCGCCTCACAGAATCACCATCCCTTACCAGTACATCGTACAGCCCCCAGGTCAACCACGCCTGGCCGCTCAGAGATACCCGTCGTCCCTCATCAGTGGTGAGGGAGGATATGCCGATTTCAGCAGTCTAGGGGGCGGAGAGCGCGTTCGTCTATGCAACCCATGCGTCCCTGACCCGAATACAACGCCTCCACAGCCGCTTGACTCGCCCTCGCAATTATCACCTCGAGGATCGCATTACAGGTCGCAGAGCAGCATCAGCACAATGTCCAGCAACGCACCGCCACCCAGCAGGTTCTCGGGCTACTTCACGGCAAGCCCTTCCCAGGATGCCTATGCAAGATCTAGGAGCATCACGGTAAGCAAAGCATGGAGCATTGGCTCAAATGAAGTAGCTGACAGACGTAGCATTCCGGTCCCGGTGGGCCTTCAAGCTCTCGCGGACATTACCACTCCACTCAAAACCGGATTATGGCCGGGACACCTCCCACGTACTACCCTTCCTCATCGGCGGTCTATCCGGGCTCATCCCGTTACCGGTCCATGCTGGACGTCGGGCCCTCCTCGTCGTCGTCGTCGGCCGCACAGAACCGCGCTCTGCCCCCGCCGCCGCAGATCGCCGAGGAGGACGAGTGCCCCGTCTGTCACCGAGAGCTACCCTCACGCACCTTGTCAAATTTTGAACACTTACGTGAGAAGCACATCAATACTTGCATCACCTCGCACAGCACATACGGCGGCACGCCAACAGGCGAAACGCCGCCATCCGGTACCCCGCCGCCTCTAGCCGCGCGCCGGACGGGAATGTTCCCATATGTTGCTACGGAGAAGGATTGCGTAGACTCTGCGGAATGCACCATCTGCCTCGAAGAGTTCGAGGTTGGTATCCCTATGGCGCGGTTGGAGTGCTTGTGCCGTTTCCATCGGTCTTGCATTTCGGCCTGGTTCGTCAATCACCCTGGACGCTGTCCCGTTCACCAGCATGATAGTTTTGGCTATTGATACCTCGGGTTGTCTACTTGTTTCCCATTGTCTCTCGTCCACATTTCGGCGTTTCGGTTAGCATAGGGCCCCCTCTTTAACCCAGTCCATCCTTTGGAAGACATTCCTTTTGGTATTGTACGCAGCGAACAATGTGGTCGGTCTCCTCTTTTCCCCCCTCTCTATACCTCCTACCCAACTTCTCTCTTTCGTGCGGTGCCGCTTGAGATGGGATATTCCCCGATGTGACATACCAAATGAGGGGTGTTTCGGCTCTTGCTTGGAGGTGGATATATGCCATGCACGTGTCGTCATCAAATGTGGGCATCTTTCACACTACGCGATTTGGCTGTTATTGTTCTGGACTCTGGCCTATTGATGGCGTAGGGTTGCATCAGGGTATACTTTTTCAGTAGATACTGCTGAGCGAAGAGGGGTCGCAGAGACACAGCTTTTGTTGATCGTCACACACAAACACACCCAAAAACGCAGAGGACTCTCGCTCTTTCTTTCTCCTTTCCAGCTTGACGGAAATACCATGCACTCAGATAGATAGATATTTTGGAGCTCACAATGCCACTTACGGCGAGATACCCGCCCAAAGCTGTCTTACCCACGGTTTCACCTTGAGCAAGGAGGCGCAATTCGTGGAGAAGCGTGTAACGTGACTTGTAGTGACGGCGAAAGGAGGCGTGTTGGCTCATGTCACCGGCGTTCCCTGCGCCGCTCGCGCCGAGGACGGCGACCCGTTGTCCTGCCGTCTACGGTCCTGTCAGCGTCGTCTTCTCCCTCGACGACTTTTTGAACCCTCTCAAGTTATTCTGCCCACCACAAGGGGCCTAGAACGTCCGGCAAGGTCGGGCCAGTCGGCGCGGGTGGAGCACGGAGTGGATATCAAGGGTGGAGCTGGGGGACTCGCGCCAGGGATTCACGATGCACCTGGCTCCGACCCCTGGATGTTCTCGAACCCGTTCCATCCTTCTGCTGTTGGCATGCGCGGTGCCTATTGGCGAACGTGGGAGGCTTCCGCAAGCAGGATGTGCGGCACGGCAGGAGGAGGAGCAGAAGTTCCTCATCTCATCTGCCCTTCATCCACCGGAGCGCATTTGATGAGCTTATTCTTTTTTTCTCATTAAATTGCACACTGGCTTGCGGTGATTATTTGCCTGCGGCCGAGTCGGACAACTCAGTCGGACTTCATCTCTCAGGCCAGGGGTAGACGCTGTTGCGTGTATCCGTACGCGCGCGACAGGCGGAAAATGAGCTGCTGCAAGGCCAGAGTGATTGGACGAACCGGCGAAACTTTCTGTGATGAGTGTAAATAAGTAATGGGAACGTTTACGTTTCTCCCGCAGTCCTTTCCCGCTCCCGCCTGCTGCCCCCAAAAGGTGGCACGAGCACCCCCCCTAATAGGTTCATCGGATTATTGTCAATATGCGGAAAGAAAGAAGCAAATGGGGGGCCGATCCGGCTGTTTGGGGTAGAGGAAGGAGGCCTATATCGACGTCGGGATATGGCACGCGCTGTGCATGATGTTAAGCAGTCAGAGAGACGGGATGTCGCAGCGCGGGCGGCTTCAGCCCTAGGTCGGTGTCACCACCACCCCTCCTGTCTTTCTCCCCTCCTCCGAATGGGTATTCGAGCTGTCATCGGAGGCAATCCTGTGGGCGCCCGATATTGTTTTTCTGGGACCTTGGTTTTAATGTTTCCCTCTTGTCGACGTTTGTTTGGTGAGCCAATGTCAATCCTCCCCGCCGTAGACCCGTTTCACACCCCCGTCCAATTTAGATGACGATGGAGCCACGCTCTCGCCACGAGCCAGCAGGCATGCCTGGAAACGGCACCACGGCGCCGGGGAGAGACACCCGCAGAGGGCAGAAATTTGCGGCCCTCTAGTCTGTTTGGCAGCGTGTCTGCGTCCTGCTGGTCCGATGGGAAGACGAGGATGAGGCGTGTATGCGTGATGGCGGCGCATGGGGGGAGGGAAAATAACTCGCGCAGCTGCTTTGTAAGTGGCGCCGCAGCGTTGCCCTTCTCCTTAGATCAGGCTGCAGCAGATGGGCTTGCAATGTTAATAAAATAGAGATCCCCCGCTGCTCTCCTCCTGCTGCCGGGAAAGGAGGTGTTGGTCCTGTTAAACCGTTTGTGCGAACCCTTTTGAACCTCTTTCCTCATCCACGCTGGTCTCTGGTCTGGAACTTGTCATTGCCCCTTTCGAGGCTTGCCACTCCTTCACTGCCAACTGCTGTTCTCTCATTGTTCTCTTGCAACGGTTCACCTGGATCTTCATCAGTAGTTCCTCCTCGGTCAGGAACTCGCCGTAACATCCGTCCTTCTTCTTCAAGTCCAAACTTCGACACAATGAAGTATCAAGTTCTTCTCCTGGCCGCCTCGGCCGCCAACATGGCCCTCGCCAAGCCCGTCAAGCCCTGCTCGGCCCGCAGCCGTAGCACCAAGATCATCACTTACACCCAGACGGGAACGAGCGCCCCCATCCAAGCAACTCCCGTCGTCCTGCCGTCCCCCGTCGAGACCCCCGCCGAGTCGTCCGCACCCGCCACAACCCCCGAAGCCTCCCAGGCCCCGGTCGAGGCGGCCGCGAGCTCCTCTACTGCGGCCGCGAGCACCCCCGTGGCCTCCACGACCCCCATCAGCGCCGAGTCCACCTCCGGCGAGTCGACCTTCTACGGCGGCAACACCTCTGGCGGCATGTGCTCCTTCTCCACTTACACCATCCCCTCCGGCCTCTACGGCACCGCCTTCTCCGGCTCAGCCTGGGACTCCGCCGCCAAGTGCGGCGCCTGCGTCAAGGTGACGGGCCCGAACGGTGCCATCACCGCCATGATCGTCGACCAGTGCCCCGAGTGCTCCGAGGGCCAGCTCGACCTGTTCCAGGACGCCTTCGCCAAGATCGGCGACATCTCGGCCGGCAAGATCGCGACGTCGTACGAGTTCGTCGAGTGCGGCATCACGTCCGCCATCAAGCTGCACAACAAGTCGGGCACCTCGTCGCACTGGTTCTCGATGCAGGTCCTCAACCACAACGAGCCCGTCGCCAAGCTCGAGGTCAGCACCGACGGCGGCAGCACCTGGCAGGCGACCACGCGCCAGCAGTACAACTTCTTTGAGAACTCGAGCGGCTTCGGCACCGAGACTGTGGACGTCAAGGTCACGAGCGAGAGCGGGTCGTCGGTGACTGTCAAGGATGTCAGCGTCGCGGCCGACTCCGAGACCACGGCGTCGGGTAACTTCTAAGTTGCGAGCGGTCAGCTGGAGATGAGAATGCGAGTGTGGAGGATATCGGAGATTTGCTCCTGTATCTGACATTCTTTCTTCTGGTATGCTGGCTCATCTCCGACGACTCTGTAAGGGGCCATCGGCCGAGGGCACTGTCTCTCCATTCACTTCTCTTTTCTCTTCTGAAACGCTCATGATGGTTGGCGTTATCTTCTTGTGGAATGACGGGTTAAGGATTATAACGACCTGGGTTTTTGGAAAAAAGGGTCTAGTTCATATGGGAGGCCCAGGAACGGGATGGTCCTGGAAGATAAGCGGGCTGCTTGTGCAAGATCGCAAATCCCCCCTTAGCTCGCGCAACCTTTGCGTGAGTAGTGTAGCAATACTTCGATTCATATGATCTCAATTAAGCCGAAACCTAAAGGCATATTTTCCCTGGTATTAGCGTTGAAATGCCCACAATGCGATTACCTATCGTGGACGTTTAAGAACACCCTTACCCAGGTTCTTGACCGTGATGTCTAGTTGTGCATAATGTATGTTTTGTACGTACTCCCAAACAGGTTGCTGCTATTGCGGCCACACATCAGCTGCGTGGCTCTATCTACATCTAAATGGACATTTTCTTGTGAACTATCAGACCCCCTCGGTGTCTCGTGTCAATGTAGCTACATTTTCTATATAATAGAGAAAACACAAACCATACTAAGGACGAACTGAGGATGATGGGGATGACGGGGACACAGGCGAAATATTCGTTTTCGATATAAGCAGAGCTATATAGACGATGTTCAGCTGCTAAAACCTAGTAGTATCTCTCAGAATTATTTCAGCGGTAGGTCCACAAGGTAGCAAACGAAGCGGTTCGACAAATTTTCAACGTTGCCATGAAGGTCTTAAGTTGAAGTCAAGTACAAATGAAAGCACTTAAAAGGCTTTCTCACATCTAATCATTTTGGTTCGCCTCCCCCTATCACACACGTACACCATGGCCAAAACTTTTCACTCTTTCTCGAAGCTTCCAGCTGAGCTCAGACTATGTATCTGGGAGTTGGCAGTTCGGCCTACGGGTCCCGACCGTCCAGGAGCTCATTTCTTTTCAGTCCAACGAGACGTCAAAACAGGCAAGCGCTTCACGACATTCCCCTCCTTTACACAGAAGTCGAAACCACTCTGGAAGGAGGATAATCCTTCGGCATACTTCTACGACTTTGGCATGTGGACAGCCTGCAAGGAGTCGAGAATGATCGTCACAAAACAAATCGCAAGACGTTACAAAGACCTTCGTTGGGGGAACAGCCGCGCTGTTGCTCACATACGACATGGCCAGGAAGACATAACCTTTGGTCTATTTCCGCGGCAAGATCTCATTTGCATGCAGCTTCCGGATACGAAGAATCTTTATCCACATTATTATAATCCTCTCTCTTATCTTGATATTTATATGAAGTACTCGTATACAGTGATGGCGTCTATCGCGTTCGAGTACGACGAATCCTGGGCTTTTGATCCAGAAAAAGATCAGATTGGTACCATGATGGCCGAGCCGGGTCCTCGGGGGGCTTTTCTCAAACTCCTCGACAGGGCGATTTCGGATGAAGATTTTCAGGTCCATCTTTATCTGATCCAATACGGTGCAAAGTTGAAGCCTGGGGCGCCTAGAAGGGGGACCTTTCACGGGAACGGGTTCAATCTCGAAATCGCAAAAGGTTATGATGTTATGGTTGAAGGTAAGAACGCCATGAGTGCCTGGTCCTTTATGTATATGATTACCAGGGAAGGTGGAGAATTTTGGTATGGAGCGAAAGATAACTGGGATTTTGGTGGTCACGCAACTCCTGGTCCTGGTGATCACGTCGATGTATATGCAGATGACCATATAGACGTGTTGGTATGCGAGAGAGCGTAGAATAAAGATATTCGGCGTCTCTACGTGATACGAGAATGGAGGATTGTTGAATTGTTTCATGTGATAAGAGCAGATTGTAGGAGGTGTCTTATGATTCCAGCTTGATTGTCGTGCCGCATCAATGAGCAAGACAGGGTGCATCAGCAAGTTTGAAAATCATACCAACAAGGATGATGATAAAAGCGGCAACGAGGACGACAACGTCAAGGACGACAGGGAACATTAGCGATGCTTGTTAGCCTAGTCTTTATTCCTGACAGGAGTCTAATAAAATAATTGTCACTTCCTCGGACTCCAGCAAGACTCTGACTACTGGTTTATGACCCTATCATCTTGAGATCATGCGCCATATCATAATGGTGGCGCTGATGCTTGATTGCGAAATGTTGAGGTTTAGCCCAAGGTAGGCCCCTTACATGGAAAAACGGGCAAAGCGAGGGAGACATGACGGCTTGCTCTCTACTTGTGAAAGTGTAACACAAATCGAAGGGTCGCAGTCACTTCAAGAGAATGTTTACTAGGATGCTCCCAAACGCCGTTCAGATTCAGTATAATATTGCGGAGGATGTAAACTGACTAGTGAATGGCACACATACCTTCAATGGTTGTGGACCAAGACATTCCGAGGGGGGCTAAAGTGGCGGTTTGTTTCATCAACAAGGAAAACCATCCAGATCCAGGAATGTTCGAGTCGGTGAAATCGGGGGATCAATCAACCGGCACTGGCACTGTCTTGCTGCGATCGGGCGGCAATTGCGACGGGCTCGGAGGCGTTGGTGGCTGGGCCCTGCCAAGACGGCAGCGATGGATGTCTCAGTCTAAAGGTTGCTTTGATAACGTTCGACAACAGCAACGACCGCTTTTGCCAGATGCAGTTTGGGGTTGCTGAAATCGGCCTGGTCGGTCGACGGTGAGCATGCGCCACTTTGTTGACCTAGCTGCGTTGTCATGTCAAATCTCGAGGCGTAGCAAGTGCTCAAGCCTGCCCGACATTGCGCGGCCATCGGTGATCTGAGTAACGATGAAAAGCTTGCGGGTGTTCCTGTGGCTGCTCTGTATCAGCAAGAGACATTGGCGCAACACTGTAAATTAGCAGTGACGAAGAGCGAGTACAACAAATTCCGGGTGCGCACCACCAACACACCACTGGAAGTCAACCCGTCGAGACCCGTCAGCCGTCGGCCAGTCTTCGGTTTACGATGGTCCGATCGAGAGAAGGATGCGCGGCAAGGATTTGGCAGTTGGGCTTGCTGTGATTCGGCGGAGGGGTTGGCAGTTTGCGCCCGTTGGACAGGGTTGCCCAGGATAAGGTACCGTATCCAGGTTTTGGGGTCATGAAGGCTGCCAGGACCTCGGCCCCGTCCGGCCGCAAGCGCAAAGACAGAGCGCAGTCGGGAGAGAGACAGAGAGAGGGGCACGGGAGGGGTCGCCGCGGTGGGTTGAAATTTCAGAGCTGAAGTCTGCCAGCCTCAGAATTTTGTGGCTGACTAGAATGTGCGTGTCATGAAAGCACAGAGGCTTCGGAGTTTTGATCGTCTGGTGCCTTGCTCAACGCTTGGTTGCCTCTGCTCTGCCTGCGAGTGCGCGTCTCTCGAATGGCGATGCAAACTGTAAGCGGTGCTGGCTTACTGAGCGGATGGCGAGAGCCTGGGATGAGACGACATGCGCCGGGCGGATAATAATAGGATGCCTTGCAGTAGCAGCATGTTGCAGATGCACGTCGTTGTTGGCGCCAATATCTGGCGGGCCACGTTTGGGAGAGCGGAAGCCAGTCGTGTGTGGCGCGGTACAGAGGCACGGCAGAGCGCTTGACGAGATGATGTCGCACGCTGTTACTTTCGTCTAAGAGATGGCCGAATGCCGCGAGTGCAGATCAGCATTGGTTTTGTGGACGTCCAGTTGGTCGGATGGGGATTGGCAGTTGGGATGAGGATGAGGTGCATACAGACAGACGGATACCGTTGACACCTTGCACACAGCTGGACATGGGGAGGAAACATAAAAAAAAAAAAAAAAAAAAAAAACGTTTCTCCAAGCACCAAGCTGGAAAACCGGCTCGCCCAAACCTGAATGGAACCAACCCAACTGGAACTTGGCCTGTTCAGAGCCTCTCCCCCGCTTGCCCTGGAACCGCTATTGCTTCCATTCCCAGTGCAACCCTTCCGGGAGGCCACCCAAGCAAGCTGACCATCCCTGGCGAACAGCTCCATCAGCCAATCCCGCTGGTCTGGCTCGACAGGGGGGCGCTGCCCTGGCGTGCTGTAGACGGCTCCCCGCCCGCCTCAAGTGTCCAGTCAGAGGCGTTTCCTGCTTCTCCCCCAGCTGAACAATTACGTCGTTATCCGCAGCCAAGTCCACGGGCCACATTACCTTTGAGCAGAGCAATTCCCTTTCCTCCACATTGGCTCGAGTGAGGGCGGCGCTATTCTATTTGGGCGAGCTTTTGTGAGACTTGGGTCGGCAGCAGTTCAGGTCAGGTCGGCTTCGAGATGTGGTTTAGCTGTCCACTCTTGTGTGTATGTATGTGGTAGGCAGGTGTTCGCCAAGAAACACAGAGCACTGCGTATCTTAAGTGGAGGTGAGGTACCTGAGGTAGGTAGGTACACTAGGTCCTTTGCTAGCGCTGGACTGAAGCAGCTTCGTCTCGTCCCATCATCTCGTTACACCTTGCACATCGATTGCACCTGTCCTCGCACCTGCACCGCCTTGCTTCCTATCCTGTCGTTTGTGCAGCAGCCGGCTTTTGTGCCAGCCCAGCCCAGCAGCTTCTTCTTCTTCTTCGTCTTCTTCGGCCCCCAATTGCTACCTTGCCAGCAGCTCCCACCTGTGCCGCCTCCACGCCACGGAGACGCCGCTAAGCTAAACCTGACGGGCCCGTAGCGACCCTGACGTATCTGAGCCAAAACTCCATCCAACCTTTGGCCTTTTCCCTTCTCTGCCACCGAACCTCTCGCCTTTTTCTCGCCGTTTACTTTTTAGCTTCCCGCCTTGTTTCTCTTCCACCCTTCTGTTCTAACCTCCACATTCTCACCACTAGTACACCAGACTACTGGCCGACCAGCCACAGTCCGGCCTTGCTGCATTCACTCCCTCCCTCCTTTTCCCTTTCTTCGCAGATCCCATCTATCGTCTCTTTTTAGTCCGAGACCCTCCCGAGACCCTCGTTGCTCTCCTCTACCCTTCTAAAGTTGCTTGTTCTCCATCTTCCCACAAATCCCCAAGCCGACCAGGTCATCGGTCCACGTCATCCACCCGGCACTCGCGATCCCTCTATGTGTCGACACGGAATCACGAGCTGAGTGCCTTGCCAATTGACCGCGACACTGAACACCCAGCTGCGAGAAGCAGCGCCCAGACCTCGCCGACATGGCTTCCACCGAGAAGGAGAAGAACGAGCTCAAGGTCCAGGGTGTCGTTGAGGCTGCCCAGGACCCTGAGAGCAACGTTTCTGCCGACGACGCGCAAAAGAAAATTGTCGAGGAGTCCAAAAAGGCCGGCATCACGGCCTTCACTTTTGATCCCGATGCGAGCCCCGAAGAGAAGCGCGCCCAAGCTGCAGCCGTGAGTCGCGCAACCCTATGTAAACAACCCCGGAGCTTGACTGACTGCTTATGAACAGGCTGTCCCTCCCGGCTTCCACTCCCAACGAACAAAGGGCATCTCAGTCGTCACTGACGTTGCCGATTCGAGCGCTCCCGTAACCGACCTCCCCGAGCCGACCAAAGCTGGCGCCATTGAAGTTGTCAAAGACAAGGACGGCAAGACACTTAATTCGGGCGAACACCCAGAAGGTGTCGAGGAGGAACCCTACACTAGAACTGGCTGGGCTCCTCAGTTTGGCTGGCCCAAGGATGGCGTTCACGATAGCGTGAGTCTCCTGGATCACTCCACCTGGCTCGAGAGTAATATCCCGGACAAATTCTATGGCGACTGGTACCACAATGCTGCCATTATCATCTTTGCCTGTATTTCGTCCTGGCTGGTCGCGGTCTTAGGCGGCGGTTTGGGCTGGGTCTTCATCCTTATGGCGGTATGTTCCACATACTACCGCACCTCCATCCGTCGAGTTCGGCGCAACTTCCGCGATGACATCAACCGAGAGCTGTCCTTGAAGAAGCTCGAGACTGAGGTCGAGTCTCTCGAGTGGATTAACTCGTTCATGGTCAAATTCTGGCCCATCTACCAACCCGTTCTAGCTCAGACCATCATCAACTCGGTTGACCAGGTTCTGAGCTCAGCCACTCCCGCGTTCCTGGACAGCTTGAAGCTCAAGACGTTTACACTGGGATCCAAGCCGCCCCGCATGGAGCACGTCAAGACCTACCCCCAGGCCGGAGATGACACCGTCATCATGGATTGGAAGTTCAGCTTCACACCCAATGACACGGCGGATATGACTTTCAAGCAGATCAAGAACAAGGTCAACCCGAAGGTCGTCCTCGAGATCAGAGTCGGAAAAGCCATGATTAGCAAGGGTCTCGACGTCATTGTCGAAGACATGGCTTTCTCCGGCATCATGCAGCTCAAGATCAAGTTGCAGATTCCTTTCCCTCACGTCGAAAAGGTGGAAATGTGCTTCCTCGAAAAGCCCGTGATTGACTACGTCTGCAAGCCCCTCGGAGGTGAAACGTTCGGATTTGACATCAACTTTATTCCCGGTCTGGAATCCTTCATCCTTGAACAAATCCACGGCAACTTGGCTCCCATGATGTACGCGCCCAACGTCTTCCCTATCGAGGTTGCCAAGATGCTTGCCGGCACTCCGGTCGACCAGGCCATTGGTGTTGTGGCTGTCACGCTCCACGGAGCCCAAGGCCTCAAGAACCCTGACAACTTCTCGGGCTCTCCTGACCCCTACGCTGTTTTGACCTTGAACCGTCGCCAGGCACTTGCCAAGACTAAGCATGTGAAGGATACCTCCAGCCCTCGTTGGAACGAGACCCACTACATCATCATTACCTCCTTCAACGACTCGCTTGATATTCAAATCTTCGACTACAACGATTTCAGAAAGCACAAGGAGCTTGGAGTGGCCTCCTTCCCTCTGGAGAACGTGGAGGAGCTCGCCGTGCATGAGAACGAAAGACTGGAGGTCATTGCCGACGGAAAGGCTCGTGGCTTCGTGTCCTGTGATATCAGGTTCTTCCCTGTCTTGGAGCCTAAGAAGCTGGAAGATGGCACTGTGGAACCCCCGCCTGAGTCCAACACGGGTATCTTGAGGTTCACCGTCGAGCAAGCCAAGGATCTGGACGGCACCAAGAGTCTTGTCGGCCTTCTCAACCCCTACGCAACTCTTCACCTCAACGGCAGAGACATCCACCACACAAAGAAGCTCAAGAGAACGAACAACCCTATCTGGGACAACGGCTCAAAGGAAATGCTCATCACGGACCGGAAGAATGCCAAGCTTGGTGTTACGATCAAGGATGACCGTGATCTCACTGGCGATCAAGTCCTCGGCAAGTACCAGATCAAACTCGAGGATATGATGGAGTGTATGGAGAAGGGTCAAGAATGGTTCCACCTGTCCGGCGTTCAGACCGGTCGCGTCAAGATGATGGCACAGTGGAAGCCTGTTGCACTGTCTGGTATTGTTGGTGGTACCGGCGGCTATGTCACCCCGGTAGGTGTCATGCGCTTTCACTTCAAGCACGCTCATGACCTCCGGAACTTCGAGACCCTCGGCAAGTCTGACCCGTACGTGCGAGTACTTCTGTCCGGCATTGAAAAGGCGCGCACGGTTACTCACAAGAACACTCTTGACCCCGAGTTCGATGAGGTTCTCTACGTCCCAGTCCACTCTGCTCGCGAGAGACTGACTGTCGAGGTCATGGACTCCGAGAAAATGGGCAAGGATCGCAGTCTGGGTCTCGTCGAGGTCTTTGCCGGCGACTACATCTCACAGGCGGAGAATGGAGAATACAATGTGCATGACCAGAAGAAGATCATTCAGGGAGGCCTGCAACTTCATGGCAAGGGTATTGCGAAGGGTGTTTTGACTTACAACGTGGCATTCTATCCCTGCCTAAACGTCGCTGACCCCGAGGATGAGGAGGAAGAGCACGCAGAACCATCGGCTGAGAAGGCTTTGGAAGGCGCAACTCGTTCTGCCGAAGCTGGCAAATTCAGCTCACTCGAGCAGAAGAAAGCCGACGAGAAGAGGCACAGCGGAGCGGAGCTTGAGCCAAGCCCGCCCAAGACCCCGGTTACACCGGTTTCGCCAACGATGCCCAGAAAGTCCAAGGACGAGAGCGGACCCCCCAAGATTCGACTCTCTCCTCAGGAGCTGCTCAAGTACGAGTCTGGTCTTCTGATCTTCAAGCTGATGGAGGCCGAGATGCCGGAGCACAACACGCACTTGGAGGTTTGGGTTGACGACATGGCTTTCCCGTCATACACATCGTCAGCAGCAAAGCACAAGAAGCACACTTTCGAGGAGATTGGCGACTGTTTCATTCGAGAGCTTGACTTCTCTCGCTTGACGCTCAAGGTGCGAGAGAAGGGGGACAAGATTGAGGGTAGCGAGAAGGACAAGGACCACACAATGGCGAAGCTTCAGGGCAACACCTTGGATACGCTGAAGCAGTGTCTCGTAAGTCGTCGGTCATGTTTTGCTAAGAATGAAGGACTAACCGAACATCAGAACAACCCCACAACACTCAAGTTGAAGGACAAGGAGAATCGCCCAAGCAGCGTCAAGGTCAGCCTGAAGTACATCCCTGTCAAGATGCAGCTCGACCCGAGTGAGAGTATCAACAACATGGGAACGCTTCGTGTGGACGTACTCGACGCCCAGGATCTCCCTTCGGCAGACTCTAACGGAAAGAGTGACCCTTACTGCAAGTTCGAGCTCAATGGCGAGGACGTGTACAAGACGAAGGTCCAGAAGAAGACGTTGCATCCCGCCTGGAACGAGTTCTTCGAGGTTCCCGTACCATCAAGGACGGCTGCCAAGTTCAAGGTCACGGTGTGGGATTACGATTTCGCTGACAAGCCGGATTTCCTTGGAGCTGCCGACATCAATCTCGAACAGCTCGACCCGTTCAGGCCGAGCGAGAGCCGCTTGATACTTGACGGCAAGTCGGGCACAGTGAGATTGAGGATGCTTTTCCGGCCGTCGTACGTAACTCGAACACGACAGGGCACATCCACCTTCTCCGGAACGTTCGCAGCTCCTGGCAGAATTGTCACCGGTGTTGTGGGAGCGCCCATCAAGGTTGGTGGTGTAGTTGGACACGGTGTTGGCAAGGGCGCTTCTTTCCTCAAACGCGGGTTGTTCTCCAAGAAGGATGACGACTCCGATGGCCCCTCGTCAAGCTTCAGCGAGATCCCGACCATTGTCGAGAATGGCAGTCCGCCTGTTCCGACTCCTGGACTCGGTCTCAAGAGAGCAACTGGCTTTTCCACGTCTGATGGCAGCGACTCCACAGACACGCGACCCGGAACCTCTTCCAACGGCAACGGTTCGACTCTAGGTGGCCACAACCGCACCAAGAGCAACGGTGCGGCCTCCGTTCATAGCCTCAACCCTGGATCCCCGGGCTCTGGGAGTGCCACTTTCACCGTGGTTGCTGCCAAGGGCTTCCCGCCTTCAGCTGACTTGTACGTCGTCATCAACCAGTTGGCACCCAAACCGAAGGTCATTGGAAAAACCAAGCACCACAAGGATGCCACAGGCTTTGTCAGGTACAACGAGACTTTTAAGAGCACTTGCACTGCCGACACTCAATTCAAGATTGAGGCCAAGGGCGAGCACAAGTTCAGTAGCGATGACGACTTGGGTGAGGCTCTCTACTTCGTCGATGAGAGTGGCGCGGAGGCCGAAAAGGAGATCAAGGTCGGCAGCGGATCAGTTATCATCAAGAGCAACTTCATCCCTTCCGCCGAATCTCTGGAGCCTGGAAGCCCCAAGTCAATCGTTCGCCGCAGCTTCATGGGCAAGAGAGAAAGCCGAAGCAGAGAAGGAACACCGACGTGATTGCACCTTCGGACCTTACTTTCTACAAATGTTTCTCCTGAATTTCTAGCAGTTCTTTCCTTTTAAAATCAAAAGCTCCTGGTCGCTTTCAGATACCTCCACGCCGTTGGGTGGCTAGTTTCATCCACTGATGGAATCTCTTTTTATTGTCTTGATTTTGAGGGTATGGAGTCGGAGGTCAAAGGAGGATGGGTGGGAGGATGGCGAATACGGCAGACAGAATATTGCAGAGATTTTTGCAGTTGCACTTGCCGGCAGAGTACTTCCTTAGCTGCGCTGTAATTAATGACATTCAAATGTGCAAAATCACATCCATGTTGATACATCAATTACGTGTGGTTGCATGCCGTTGGAGAGAGGTTCGTTTACTCTTCATGTTAGATATGGTATTATGTAATCAGAGCTGTGCACGGACGACATGTACCTGCAGTAAGGGCCAATCTGCATCAGGCAACAAGGCATCAGTTAGCTACGCAGTTTCCCTGCTGAAGCTGTCCGTGACGCGAGCATGGAGCTGCCTGAGCTGGCTCCCCGAGTTAACCACAAAGAGCGCCCCATCGTCCATTCCAACGCCCGACCTCACCTCAACCCTTCCACAACCACCGCTCACCTACCGACGAGAATCGACGATTCCGACACACACAACTACCAATTCAACGAAATTTGTCCAATCCGCCTTACCATATCTTCGAGATGGACAGCCTCGTGGCCAAGTACAGCCGCCCGGCGTACGAGCAGCACAACACCTTCCGGGACGATGAGCAGGAGGACCTCGAGCTCATGGGCGAGGCCCCGCCCTTGTCTCTGAAATTTGCTATGCCTCCCGTCGCACATGTGAGTTGATTTCTTCAAGGCCGATATGGATGTTGGAAGGGAAGCAGTACTGACATCCCCGCCCCCTCATCACAGCCCTCCTCCTGGCTCCGCGCAGCAACAGATGACCGCGCCAACCCCGACTGCCCCATCAAGATCGCCCACGGAACGACAACGCTTGCCTTCCGCTTCCAGGGCGGAATTATCGTCGCCACCGATTCCCGTGCCACCGCCGGTAACTGGATCGCCTCGCAAACGGTCAAGAAGGTTATCGAGATCAACAGCGTTCTGTTGGGCACGATGGCCGGCGGTGCCGCCGATTGCCAGTACTGGCTCGCCTGGCTCGGCATGCAATGCCGTCTCCACGAGCTTCGTCACAAGCGCCGCATTTCCGTCGCTGCCGCCTCCAAGATTCTCGCCAACCTCGTCTACTCATACAAGGGTATGGGTCTCAGCATGGGAACCATGTGTGCTGGTGTCACCAAGGAGGAAGGCCCCGCGCTCTACTACGTCGACTCAGACGGCACTCGTCTGGCCGGCAACCTCTTCTGCGTTGGCAGTGGTCAGACCTTCGCCTACGGTGTCCTGGATGCCGAGTACCGTTACGACCTGACGGACCAGGAGGCTCTGGAGCTCGGAAGCCGCAGTATCCTGGCCGCCACCCACCGTGACGCCTACTCTGGTGGTTTCATCAACCTCTACCATGTCAAGGAGGAGGGCTGGGTCAAGCACGGCTTCAACGACACGAATCCCATCTTCTGGAAGACGAAGCTGGAGAAGGGCGAGTTCACCAACGTCACGGCCGACTTGGATTAGGAAAGGGCGCGAGCAATTGATGATGCTGTTACGAAGAACCCCGGGCACCCCTGACAATTACACTCGGTATTTGCGTTGCCAGAAGAACGGCAAGTTAGAGGGTAAGCTTCCAAGGAAGACACTCGGGCAGTTGGTAACGGGTTAAATGGTCATGACCAGCGAGAGGAGACAGCTGAGCTTTGGAGGCATTGGCATCCTACGAAGGTGCGGATGCCTTGTAACTTGTAAACTAGACCATGATACAAGTGCATTCTTATGATTTTACAGTTTTGGTACAATGACTTTTAGGGGATTCGTATACACAGTGTGGTGAAAGGCTGAAAGGGGGGTATCATGACTTCTGTCCATCCCTTCTCACCCAGCCGCGAACGCCGAGGATACCGCCCTCGTCGCTCGCCGCATCAATCGACCACTTCTTCATTACAGACACGGACAGATCACTCTCCCAGCCGGCCTCGTACATCTCCATGCCAGTCCAGGCAATCATGGCTGCGTTGTCCGTACACAACGCCGGCGGCGGTGCCGTGACCTCTACATGCTCGAACCCGCGAACATTGAGCATCTTTCGCAACACGTGCATCAGGAAGCGGTTGCTCGCGACACCGCCGCTCACCACCAACGTCTTCAGTGCATCTTTAAGCTCCGGCTCCGCTGCAAGGACGAGGAACACGCGGGTGGCGAGGTGCTCGAACAGCAGACGCATCGCAGCGCGTGCGAGGACCCTCCGCTCGTCGAGTGTCATGTCGACGCCGCCTGCCTCTGTGATCCTGCGGATCTCGCTGCCTATCCCGGCAAAGGCGTATGAGAGGTCGCGCGACCTGGCCAGTGGGGGGTGGAGTTGCCAGTGATACGGGGCCGGGGCGACGTATGTTGCAATCTCGTCGCGGCGGTACGTTGGCGGGGTGTATTCGTAGTCGTACTCTGGGTTTTGGCCGGGCGGGAAGGAGGCGGGGAAGGCGAAGCGTTCGAGGAGGGCGCCGTACATCACGTCGGTATGGGCGGCGAGCATGTCGGCGGGGAGGATGTGGCGGGCGGCCTTGTCTAGAGCGTCGCCGACGGCGACGTCCTGCGTCGAGGCCAGGATGCGGTGGTCCGTCAGGGAGCGGGAGTGCACGAGCTGGGTGTGTCCTCCTGACACCAGCAGCGTCAAAAAGGGGAACCCTGGTTGGCCACGCGCAGCAGTGCTGGTGGCGGCATCTTGCTTGAGGGCGGAAACAAGCCGTGGGGTGAGGGCGTGGGCTTGCATGTGGTTGACGGCGACGAGGGGCACCTGCCATGCCGTCGCGAGACCCTTTGCGGTCGAGAGGCCCGTGGCGAGGTTCGAGGACATGCCGGGCCCGCGCGTGACGGTTATGAAGTCGGGCTTCTGGCGGGGTACGCCCGAGACGGTGATTGTCTTGTTGTCGTCGGCCGGCGGCGGGAGGGAGGAGAGGGACTCGACGATCAGGGGCGCGAGGGAGGCGTCGTGGCCGGCGAGGGCGGCGGGCGGCCAGATGCCCCCGAAGGCGCGGTGGTCCGAGGTGATTTTGCGGTTGAAGTGGAGGTTTGCGCCGGCGGGCGTCTTGGAGAGGAGGGCTACGCAGGTGTCGTCGCATGATGTTTCGATTGCGAGGGTGAGGAGACTACGGCGGTGGTAAGAGGTAGGCCCGTGGACCTGCCGGCGGAGGAGGGTGCGCCATTGTGTTTGGAGGGGTGGTGGGCGCATCGAGAGTGTGCGATTTGTGTGGTTTGGGTGGTAGACGGGTGAAAGATTGGGAGGGTGGTGGTGACGGAGAAGTTTGGAGCTCTTATCTTATCGAGGATGGGGCTCACCGAGGCACACCGACTTACACGTATCACACCGAGCTACGACCTATTCCACCTAACAACGGCATCAATTGCGAATACATAAGTGAATGGGTATTTTGAATACAGTCTGGCTTTTGTGAAGCTATGCGACTACTTTTCTTACACGTAGAGATATTTCCACGGCTTAGAGAGAACGGCCACAAAAGAAACAACCACAACAGAGATGACAATAGAGATGATCATAGAGACAATTATAACTACAGTAATAATAGAGATAGCAATACTTAGCGATAAAAGAAATGATAATGTTAATAGAAACCATAACTTTCATAGAGATAACGACGACGACGACGACGAAAACGACGATAGAGATGACGACAACAGAACTAATGATAATAGAGACAATAACGATAGAGATAACAACGACGACGACGGAGACGGCGACGACAGAGACAAAAACAAAAGGGGCGACAGTAGAAGAGGTAATAGTAAACTTAATAAATTAACTGTAGGAAATACAGAGACCCCAGCATGTTTAGTATTAAGCATCTCATATGTTGATGTTCATTTCATTGTTTTGATACGCGCCGTGGGCTTATTATTATATGCCCAAGGAGCCAGCTAGTCGGCTCATAATAAGGAGTGCCCGCTCCTCAACTCGAGAATGACAATGACCACAGATTTTATGAAGCATATCCTCGACGCCATGCGGGCGAACGTAGGGCGAGGACCTAATTACATTGCCCTAGATTTCCGACCTTGCAATAATGCTCAGACATCAAATCTCACAGATAGTCACGGTCAAGTCTTCTCAAGTTCTGTATCGTCAATTCATTACGCTTAGTTGCCAGACGGCTTAACATCGCCCATGCCCTCGCCGTAATCCTCCTTCAGAACCTTGCCGCCAACCTCGAGCGGGTGGCTCTCCTGCAGCACGTACAGCATCCTCGCCCAGCCGGTCTCGCTCACGTTCTTCCACGCGTGGTTGGTGCCGCGCTGCACGGATACGTCGCCCCTCTTCATGCGGCGCACCTCGCCCGAGTCGAGGACGAGGTCGATCTCGCCCTCGAGCACGACGCCGTAGTCGAGGCTGACGGTGCGGTGCATCGGCGACAGCGAGCCGGGCGGCATGTCGACGATGCGCATGACGCTGCCGCCGGGGATGACGATGCCGGGCGGGTTGGCGAGGCGCTCGGCGTACGAGGAGATGTCCGCGTTGCCCGTGAAGGAGGCGGGCGTCTGCTCCGTCGTGTAGCCCAGGTAGAACTTTGCGTTGCCGCCGACGGTCTGTTGGGGGATCTCCTCGGGCAGGGAGGTGTTGAAGATGGCCTTGCCCTCGGGGTTGTGGTCTGTAATGAACCGCTGGGGACGGCGAAGGTCGCTTGGAGGTGCGTCGGATGCCATTGTGGTCGATTAATGTGGCTTGTTGGTTCTCTGATGCTCTTGATCAAGCTGTTTATTCAGTACTAAGGAGCTTTGATTATGTTTTCGGGAAGTTCTTGCGGAGGGCTTATGACGACACAGGCACAATTGAGACGAAGGGACCAGGCTAATCAGATGCGAGCTTGAGAGAGAGGTGGCATTCTTCTACTCCCCTAAATCCAGCTTCAAACTTAATAATCAGCTTTCCCGTCTGATACAACCGGTTTGTGTAGCTCTTTTCCCCGCTACCGCGACACCGTTGAGGCATTGCCGAGAGCATCCCGAAGAGCGAGTGATGCAGGCGCCGAAGGTCACGGCGGAAAGTGGAGGCGGGACCGGAAAGAGGGGGAATGTTGCTGACACTGATACGGGATGAGAGGTGGATGGGGTGGGGAAAGGGGACGAAGAGTGGTTTGTGCGGGGATGGGAAGCGGCGGACGCTAGGTATGGAAACTGTATCCTAAAATCCCGGCAAATGGATATTGAAACTGGGGAAAGGTGTCTTTTTGTTCCTTCGCCCTTCCAGAGGGTCTTGTTTCGTATGTAGCTTGTGTGGGTCGTGTGTGGCGGTCTTTGACTTCGGACTCTTCGCGGACAACGCATGATGTGTGACGAACAGCGGAGTCGACAAGTCACTTTCGACGAGACCTACTACACACAAGCTTCTGTGTTCTTCATGTTTCAAATGAACTCCAAATCAAGAATATAAGTCCCGAGGTGACGTTCGTAATCAGACTCGGGGATGTATTTTGGTCAAAATGTGATTAAATGTAGTAGAAGCGATAACGACGACGACGACGACGATAATAACGATAGTAGTAGTAATAATAACGACGACGATATTACGCTATCTCAAAAGTGCGAACATTGTGATTGTTTATAATCAACTAAGTATACAGAGTAGGGTATTCGACAGGATGTGATTCTCGCAGCTCGAATGCCACAATAAGCTATGTACAGCGCCTCCTACAGGCATGCCAACATCGTAAATTCCCACCAATGCTTTACTCTATCCTCCTGGCCCCGGAAACGTTGGGCACACCGGTACCCTCCACCACCTTGGCGCTCACAAAGTCGTAGATGGGCATCTCAGACAGGAACTTCGTAATGTGGTGCAGCGTGGGAAGCTTCTCCCAGTCGTGCGCGTCCATCTTGACGGAAACGTCGGACGACCGCGAAACGGCGTGTACCGTGGCGGGTACGTCCCGCGCCTCCTCCTCGTGCGGGACCACACACGCATACTCGGCATCGGCCTTTCCAGGCTCCCCGACGGAGGGGATGTACCGGTACGTCAGGATGCCGTAGTCCGCCTCGCCGCCGATAGTGCCGTGCTCCGTCTTCGGGTCGTCCGCGCGCAGCTTGTTGAGCCTGATGTCGGCGAACGTGGCGCCGCGCCACGAGGCCTTCACCCGGGCCGCCGTCGCGTGCAGCTCAAAGTCGATGTCGCAGAACAGCTTCGGCATGCCCAGCTCCTCGCGGCCGGAGACGATGGGGTCTGTGAGGCTCTCGAACAGCACGGACAGGTGGGTGCCGTTGATCGTGCTGCCGTCCTTCTTGACGTACTCGATGCCGTGGATGTAGAGGCCCAGGTGGTTGTATCCGCCGCCGCCGAGCCAGGACATGTTGTTTAGTCTGGTGACCGAGAGAGAGGCGGCGCAGACGGTGCCTGGGGCTTTGAAGCGGAAGGAGTCGGTGGGAAGAATAGTCTCGAGGAAGGTTCGTGAGGTGAGGAACTTGACGGACATGGTGGTGAATGTGCGCTCAATGTCACCGGGCTGTCGGCGGCCGAAAACGTCTTGGCGAGGACCCGGGAAAGGGCCGTATCCGACGGGCATGCGCCAGTAGAGGTCCTTCTTCTTTGACCACAGCCATCGGTTGTAGACCTTTGTTGCGTGGTCGTGTTCATCGTGGCCAAAGTTGTAGTTCTGGTAGGTGTTCACTAAGACTTTGTGAGCATAACGCAGGACATATCGTCTGGATGATCGACTCACTCTCAACAGCTGGTGGAGCACCTGGAATTCTGTCCTTGCCGGCTTGACGTGAGTACTCCTGAATAGCATGTGCACGGGTCAAGCGGATTTGTTGGTAAAGGCGGAGTCGTTCCGGTACGTCCTCGGGAGAAGTTCCCTTAGGCAGGACGACCGCCAGCGCGGCGCCGTCTTCCATGGCCTGGCCTGCTCCCTGACCTTGGTCTGTCTGGCTGTTAGCATATCGTACTGTGCTGTAGAGAATTGTAACGTACGAGGTGTGAAGGGGTGGGCGGCATCTCCCAGCAAAGCAAGCTTGCCGTTTGTCCACGACTCCATTGGGTCCATGTCTAGTAGCTGCCAGACGTTTACTTCATCTGGGTGCACCTTCTTGATCAATTGCAAAAGAGCCGGGTCGAAGTCCTGGTAGACCTTTAGAAGTTGCTCAATTGAACCCTTCTTGTTCCACTCTGAAGTGTGTTAGTACTTGAAAGACAAATGGGACGTCCAGGGCATACCGTCGCTAGCTGTTGCGTGAGACTCGGTGTCGGGGTGGATGCACACAAAGTTCAATAACTGGTTATCGTTGCAGGGGTAAATGACGATGCGTCTGTCTGTTCCAAACCAGATACCGAGCTGGTTGTGCTTGTCGATGAGAGGAGCGGTGACGGGGTCCTCCTCGACGACGGCCCGAGGAATGAGGAAACGGAAAGCCGCCTTGCCTGAGCGGAACAGTTTGGGGTCGGTGCCCGTTACGTATTTCCTCGTCTTGGACTGAACATGATCTTAGTCTGTTGCTGAAGAACGATGGCTCATGAAAACTCACGTAGATGCCGTCAGCGCCAATAATGACATCCGCCTGGATCGTCGTTCCGTCCTCCAGCTGGAGAGTGCCCTTCTCTGGGTCGGCGCCAACTATCTTAGACGCAACATGCACCTTGGCCGGAGTGCTAACACCATCTTCTGCGGTAGCCACACTTCGGATCTCGTTGTGGAGATAGGCACGGTGAACCAGCTGCCACGGATGCTGCCACTGGCCTTTGTGTTTGGTGATGTCCACGTCGAAGCCGCCCTTGTTGTTCTGGTCTCGCTCCTTGAAGTGATCCGCCGGGTTGCCACCAAAAGTCTCGGCGTAGATGCCCCATCTTCTCAGCAGACCGTTTGAGTTGGGCGCCAGATGTACCGCCGCGCCGGTCTCGCTGTTCAGTCTTGATTGTTCGTACAGCTATGTTTCTGCGATTAGCTCACAAACGAGGTGCGCGGAAACCATGAGATTCCATACATCCACTTGGTGACCCTGTCGTCGAAGTGCAATTGCGGCACTCAAACCTCCAATGCCGGCGCCCACGATGGCAATCTTGAGGGGATGAGGATATTCGCCGACGAGGGGACTCGAATACACGCCATTCGGGCGCTGGGCCTCACCGTTGACCAACATGATGTCGACGTGGTCCTTTCTGTGATGTCTATGAAGTCTTGCGGGATATGAAACACGGACGCTTTAGTATGAAGGGTGGGAAGCCTTGGAAGAAGGTGAGTGAGTGAAGGGAGGGCTGGGATTAAAGCTGCATATGAAATAACCGCACAAGAAACCAATTATAACCCCCCCCCCCCCCGGGCAACCAACTTATGGGAAACATGTGCAGAGAAGAGCAGCAGGGCGAGAGGCAGGGCTAGTCGGGCTTGCAGACCGTCATCTCAAACGCTCCCGCTCGGCTGCGCATCGATCGTCGCGCTCGTACTCGGCCCCTCCCTGTCCCCCCCAGCGCAACCACCACGCTGTCTGTCACCACTCTCTCCAGGCTTCTTCGGATCGAACGCAAATTACCACCACACCCGCCAAGACCAGCCGTTCGAAGTAGTAGTCTAGCAGAGAAGAACAACCCCGAGTGCATCTACCGTTCCATCGGGATGGCTCAGCTCGTCCACGGGGGCTGGCTTGGTCCCTTTCCTTGGCCCGCGTGCCTCTCCCCCGCATTTGGCCGGGCGGGAAGCCGGAAGCACGGCGGGGGAGGGACCCAATTGGAGCTTTACCGTCTTTGTCCTATTGCCTCGCAGTAGATGGTCCTATGTTGCTGTGAAACCTCGTCCGCAACTAGACGTTGATATGCATAACAGCCCAGCGGCATGCCGGCTGGGATGGTCCACAGGGCGAATAGAGGCAAGGTGGCAGCCGCACTAGAAATTGAACGTTGCCGAGTCGAAGGTGGAATGGCGGGTGGTGATTTGTCCATCACCGGTTCTTCGTGTCTGTTAGTGTTCCGGGGAGTTTTAGGGACGATGGAGGGGTAGCGAGCAAAAGACCGGCTTGTGGGGGTGGAGCCACTCTGCTGTCGGGTGTGTGTGCTGTCGCTGTCAGTGCTGTCTGACATGAGTACAAACAAGTGACCACCGGAGACACTCCAAGTTTCCTGCCCCCATTCTTCCTCTCCCAATTACAGCGCCAAGCCAAAGTCTTCAGTCATGTCGCCCGGCGTGTTTCGCCGATGCTCTTCGTCTGCTGCATGTCACGAGTGGATGTCTTTGACACCGCCGGACGTAGTGGGATGAAGTGAACTCAATCCCGCGAGATCGAATACCACTTGAATGGCCTCGTGGCACGTTGCCAGGCTTCACCTTGCTTATCTTCCCGCCTATCGGGCTGTTTTCCCGAGAACGCACCATCGAATGCCTTGTGCGGCAAGTAGAAACGTGTCTGACAAGCTGAATTGAACGTACGTGGAACCCTCGGGTTCCGTGCCCCTGTCCCTCCCGTCTCGGTCGCGGTAGACAATCGGCTCCGGCGCGCTTACCCCGCCCCGATACCGCTCCGAGACACCACCAAAGCCGGGCCACCCCTCCTTCCCCCCTTCACTCACCACAACACATTTCCGGATCGGACGAACTCATTTACACTCCGCTCCGTCCGCCGTTGCCCTTTTTCGCATTTTGACAAATTCTCATTAACAAAAAACCAAGGATCCACAGAACCCCCCAACATGGCCCCGATCCCCTCCGCCCTCATCACGGCCGGCAGCGCAGGCCTCGGCGCCGCAACCGCCCGGCTCTTCGCCCGGAACGGCTACAACGTCGTCGTGAACTACGCCAACAACGCCGAGCGCGCAGAAACCCTCGTGAGGGACCTCCGCGCCTCCTCCCCGCTCGCCGCGGACCAGCAGCGCTTTGCGGCCATCAAGGCGGACCTCTCGCGCAAGGACGACCTGGCCGAGCTCGTCCGCGGCGCCGTCGCAGCCCTCGGCGGCCGCCTCGACGTGCTCTTCAGCAACGGCGGCTGGACCCGGATCAGGAACCTCCAGGACCTCGACGAGAACGTCGACGAGGACGACTGGGACCGCTGCTTCAACATGAACGTCAAGTCGCACCTGTTCCTGATGCACGCCGCCCGCCCGCACCTCGACGAGGCAGAGGGCGCCTTCATCACCACGGCGTCTCTGGCCGGCGTCAAGGTCAGCGGGAGCTCAATGGTACGTTCATCACCTATAAGCGGTTTCCTCCCCTAAGTCCCCGCTGCTGGGCCGTCTTTCCCGCCCGAGGTGGTCACAGAGCGGAGCGGGGAATGGATGGAATGGGCAGGGCCACTGTTCTAAGACGTAAACAGGCCTATGCCGTGACGAAAGCAGCGCAAATTCACCTCGTCAAAGCCCTAGCAATGGCGGCGGGACCCAGGATAAGGGTCAACAGCGTCTCACCCGGCCTCCTCTTGACGGTAAGTCCATCATCAAAGACACCACCACCAACAACACATCCATCCATTAGACCCGCGTCCGCATGCCTACCCCCACCCTCTGCCCATTTCCCGAAAAGACACATCGGCTCACTTTTGGCGCTACCGCGCCGGCGACATGACAGGACTGGGGCTTGCAGTTCTCCGAGGAGCAGCGGGAGGCGATGCGCGAGAAGACGAGGCTCAAGAGGCTGCCCACCGTCGACGACGTCGCGGACCAGGTGCTGTGCTTCGCCAAGAGCAGGAGCGTCACCGGCGCCAATGTGGTTATCGACGGGGGCTTGAGCCTCTGAATGGGCGCAGGACTATGGGAGATGATGGAGAGGGGGCAGGCAGATGGAACAGACGTTGTATCCGTAGGGTCAGGTCAGTGACTGGCTGGTTAGTGGTTACACGGACGCGGGATGGATCTCCAGGCAGCAGCAGCAACAAGCACTTGTTGGCCCCCTTACAGACGCAGTAGCAGGCAGGGTGAGCAAGTTAAGGCCAAGGGCAGGAAAAAAATCAAGCCAGAAACCATGAATTCGGAATGATGGCCGGGTTCTAGCGCCAAGGGTCCAAGGTTGGACCGGGGCAGATGCGAGCAGTTCGTGCACTCAGACTCGCAGAGAAGCGCTCGGATTGGCCCCCACCCACCCTTACCTACTGATGCGGCCTAGGTATGTGGCCTGCGTAGTCTCGGGTAGGGGTCTTCCTCCCACATCCCGAACCCGAAAGCCACGAACGAAGGGGGTTATCAAAAGGGTAAAATAGCAAGGCGGCGAAGTTTAAAGAAGAGCTCAAAACCGCTGTGTTTCTTGAGAATATCCAGTCATCCAAGTGCCGAAACGCCGTTTCCCTCCCTTTTCCCTGCCATGCGTGGTTGTGTCGTATGCGTCGCGCGTGTGGTTACAAACAGTTGGTACAAACAACTACCTCCTCTCGACATCTTCATGCACACCACTTCTTCGAATCACTCACTCTCCGACCTCCCTGTCCTCGCTCCAATGGATATACGAGACGATCCGCCATTTCCACGACTCATGTCGTATTGCCTTCCCCCATACGAACATCGGCACCCACATGATCAGGACGGCAGTCGCGATTCCCGCCATCGCCCCGAACGCATTCACGTACCCGGCCTGCTCGATCCATGTGTTTGTGTAGAAGGACAACAGGAAGCCGAAAAGTGCTACGAAACAGACCGACAAGTCAGCTTTTACCGCACGAACATTGGACGAAACAGGACAAGGATGGGATGCCGGCACACTCACACTTGAACCCCATTACCGACAGCGTCACCTCCCCGGTTATAGGTCGGTACGCATCAATGACATACACAGTTGCGATGTTGGTGCCCTGGGAAATGGAAAACGTCACTAGGGAAGAGAGGGTGTCAGAAAACAGCAGCAACCAGGACATGCGGGGCCGGGAGAGAGCTTACAGAGTCCCAGGCCAATGGTCGGACAGATCCAGTGCAGCTGGTTCGCGATCCCGACCCCGTACAGGATAAGGGCCAGAGGCGTCGATATCATGGAGATGACCATGGCAGGAAGCCGCATTTCCGGATCCCTGATGCCGCCGTTGCGTAACGTGAACCAGTCGGCCACCTTGTCCCCAAGGTGCCCACCCGCTGGGATACCGGCCGCGGCCCCAATGATGCCGGCGATGAAACACAGCCCGATCTGCCAAGCATCGAATCCGTAGGCGGTGTTGAAGGCAGAAGCGATATTCGAAGACACGGCGACGAGGAAACCAACAGTCACGGCTTGCACCAACGCCGCCCACAGCACAGGCGGGAGGATGATCAGACCCAGAGGTCGGAGAGACAGCTTCAGCAGGCTCTCTCGCGTCAAAGTTTTGTGGAAGATTTTCAGAGACGACAGGTAAGAGTTCTTTCTCGAGCGTGGGAGAGCGTTTTCTGCGTAGCGGGGAGCGAGTTCGCTCTCTGAGCCCACCGAACCAGGCTTGTTGGCGTCGATGGATGCCATTCGGTTCCAGTTGCTCGCCTCGTCTCGCTCGTAGGCCGTCTCGGGGAAGGTGAAGAACGCAAGCGCGAGAACGACGCCGATTAAGGCCGCAGAAACCTCGTAAATCACTCTCCAGTCATGGTTGATGGTGATGAGACTGTCAAAAGCCACTGGTCAGACAAAGTCGAAAGCACTGCAGATCCTGAAGCGAACTTACCCTGAAATCACCAGTCCAAACCCAACTCCTGCGGAGAGGAAAGAGGTATACAAGCTTTGGGGTCGTTAGCCGGATACTGTTCAACGCCAGCCGGACTCTATACTTACGCCATGATGGTCCCTCTTTCGTGCAGAAAGAAGACATCAGCGATGGAAATAGGGGCAATGGTTTCTGCTGCACCAGCACCGAAACCCATCAAGATCCGCCCAGCAAGAAAGCCGGCGTACGAGTGTTCAAAGATGAGCCATATCGTGCAAACAAAGTAGATCGTGTAGCTGGCAACGTAGACTGGGCGCCGGCCAAACTTGTTGGCCATGGGCACCCAGAAGAAGTTGCCAACCCCCTGAAGCAGCGCGGTTGTCGTGAAGAAGTACGCCGTCTGGGAGATGGAGTACGACAGAACCGCATTATCCGTAGCCGCAGCCGGATAGAACTCCAGCGCCGTCTCCAGAAGAGCTATCGACGGGCCTATCATGAAGTTATCAGAGATGATGCCTCGTGTATATGGCTGCGTCTGCCGACTTACCCGCTGCAAGAAAATTGCACATCATCATGGCCACGCAGATCAACCCCGCCATGTAGTATTTGTACCATTGTGGCCTAGATGGATCAGCCAAAGGCCCCTGGTTTTCACGATCCGAATACCCGGAAACCTACCAGTTTAAAGGGTCATTTGGGTCTGTGGAAGGTTTGGGGATTAAGATGATCTCGTTCGTAGCCTCGTCCCTCAGACGGACATTTCCCAACGTCCTTACTGGTGCCTCCTCCGGGACTGCATGTCTTGCGACGTGATCATCCATTGCTGGGCTCTGCTGTGTGTGTCTGTGTGCGCCGCGAGTTGCAAAGCGGTTGGAGCCGCCCTCGTTGGAGGGTCCTCGAGGGAGGATATGGAGACCTGAGGGAGTTGCGACGCTCTTTGCAGACGGAAGAGTCGGGTAGTGTCTGAAGACTGCCCGCGGGAAGTCGGGGAGTAGTAAAGAAGTGGCTACTCCCCGGCTCAAGGGACGGCCGCGATCGATGAAACAATCGAAGCCTGAGCTATCTGCCGTGTCGATCGTTCAACGTTGTTGCATCAAAGGGAGGTCTAGACGGAGGCGCGTGGCTCTACTGGCACTCTGCGCAGACACACACAAACGGCATAGGTTTAAGCTTTGCCTTGTCGGTAGAATATTGATTGGGTTCTGTGGGGAAACAGGGTCCGGAAAATGGCCGCCAGACGCGGTGATTCGCAGAGTTGCCGTGAGGATGGGTGACGGGTGATGTGTGAGGAGAAGGACGGCAACGAGATGGTGTCGACGAAGCCAGAGGGGATTCGAGGATGAGCAAAAGGGCCACCAAAGGCTACCTACCTTGGATGTTGATGCAATATCTCAATGTGACGTCGCAGCCCAATAGAATTGAAAATATTATCCAGTGATACCTGGGATGAGTAGTGAGAGGGCTACGAGGACTATGGATGGGATATCTCCAGGATGGATGGGGATAGGTGACGGGCCTAAGCAGGAGATTGGCAGGCTCAAACCCTGCTCACCGATGCAGCTCACTAGATGAGGGAAAGACTTGGCGAAGCATGGGAAAAGGGAAAGACAGGGATTTAGACGCAGCGGCCACTGTCTTATCCGCGACTAAGGGGTTTTCGAGTTTAGGGGGCAAGTTCCACCAACAAGCCTTTCGCCAAGACATTGGACATGGTTGAGCGAAACATGACCAGAAGAAAACCAATTGGTGGGTTCTGTAGGAAGCACTAGCGTGGGAACCAGAACGGATGTCCTGGAGCATGAGCAGCAGCAGTGGCAGCAGGTGAAAAAGGACAGATGACAGACGTCGTCTCGACCTCTAGCCCCGAGATGAGATGGGATGGAGGTGACGCTGTCTCTCCCTCAGGTTCTCGGGCTTTTGTTCTCTTTGAGGGAAAGGCGGCGGCGGCTTGCTAGCCGAGGATCGATGATTCAAGATGGGGACTCCCTCGTGTCTCCCCGAACAGGCCCCGCCGCCACGATTGCACGCGTAAGATATCGGACTTTGAACAGGTCCAAGCCTTGCTGCAAGAGCCTCAAAGAGAGGAGAACTCGGTGGTGCATGAACCACGCACAGGACACAAGGTGCCGTTTTCGGCCATGTCCTCCGGTCGACTTGTGGCCTGGCGGCAATGTGACAGAAAAGGCTGTACATAGGGAGCACCGCGTTGTGTGTGCGCAGCAGCAAAGTGTGGCTGGTGCTCAATATGGGGTAGGAAAAGCAAAATTTTGGCAGCACTGCGCCTAGCCAGAGTAACCCCGGCATGTCTCGCCTAAGGAGACGCGCAACGCGCTCTCCACGCATGGTTGTGAGTTCTGAGGTTGAAGGGGTATGGCATGCATGTTGCCGTGGACACGCACTAGCAGACTAGAGAAGGTCAATAGTCCACACAAACAGAGATGGGACGAATGCTGATCCTGATCATGGTTTCTCAACCAGCAGCGCCAGCGGAGAACGAGCATTGGAGGCCGCTTCCAGGGCCGCCGGGTGGTTCCTGACTGTTGGAGAAGGTGGAACGGATGACTGCAGCTTGGCTTTCGTCCCAAGTTGCGGTGCAGAAGAGTACGGAGTACTACTGCGGTAAGTACGTAGGTAGCGCGGCCTACGTGCATTTGGCCATGCATGATGCCGCGGAGAGCGCCGTCCCTGAGATATGCACCGCGTCGACGACATGCAGCGCCGTTATCTCGTCACCTGTGGGCCGAGGGCGAGACCTGAAGAAGACGCGCAGACGAGGCCATCCTCCCGCCCTGGCCGTTCATGCCATCCATTCAGAAGGATTCTGACATGTGTCGACATATTGGACGACAGACAAGGAACGGAATTCGAGGCCCGAGAGTGGCCCGGGGATGTTGATGAACTCTCTCGAGTGGTGTCGTTCTCAGTCGAGGCCCTCGGCGGAGCTGAGAGTAAGGAGTGTTTCAAGTGACGTTTCCCGGATCTCTGGTGCAGCGGGTAGAGAAGAAGCTTCATCATTCAAGGTTGATTGAGTGGGCATGCGAGGTTTCTGTTTCTAAATTTCGATGCTCGGTTATGGACGCCGGCGTCTCGAAACAAAGTAGACTCGTCATGGTGCTATATCGAATGGAGCGATTCTGAAGAGAGGACGCGTCTGCTCTTGTTCAGCTTGCCCCAGATGTGGCCGATGGCCCCGTCAGGTAAGGCAGAATTCAAGCTTCGTGCCACGGCTCCATGGCCGGTGGAAAGATTAGGGTTGCCGGGATGGGTTTGACGAAACTAAAACGGGGGGTGGCCGCTTTCGTCATCTGCGACCAGCCAAGCAGAGGCCGCGGAGCAGAGCAGAGCAGAGCAGAGCAGCAAATGCCGCCCGCCTGTCATCTGAAGTTCCCGACTTGAGGTTGTCTGGTCTGGCGCGGCGGCGCGCCAATGGCAGTTGAGAGCCGAGGGAGGGACTTGGGTCGAGTTGTGAGGATTCCGCCGCGGTGCGGGTGTTGGTGGAGGAGACGACGTGGAATCAGAGATGCAGCAATCAGATAGATGCAGGGTGAAAGATGAAGGCGGGGCGCCAAGCTCACGCTACGTGAGAAGCTCACACTAAGGCAGGAAGAAAGGGTACTTGCGGCCAGTAGGGAGCGGAAGTACCGCCGCGCTACTCCACGTGCGGGAAAGCACCTTGACGGCAGGTACCGCGCCTCAAAGACGCGCTGCGTAAGTCTCCTAGAGAAGGGTTCCATCATCAGAGATTTAGTGGACGACGTCCTATCAATAGCGGCTTAGTACCGTAGGTCTACTGCATAGTACTGGAAGTGATGTACCTCTGTACCGCGGATGGTAGCTAATCACACCTCACATGTGGGTCCCTCATCGGAGGGTCCCATCGCACCATTCCTCTTCGGGATTTCCGGCCAGGCCCTGGGATGGCACGGATATTAGAGCCTACGTAACGCTCTTTTCCCTTTTTCTCTGGGTCTGAGGGACTGAATGGATGCTGGCACTGGCTGGCCTTGTTCACATCCATTTCTGATAACGCTGCAACGCGTGTGTTTCTTTCCCCATCAAACACGTCTTCACGGGGGATACCTGGATACCTTGACACCTTGACACCTTCCAAATGGACGTCGCTTGCCTGATGTCCACCCTGACGTCCACCACGAGGCTCACCTGCTCACAATTCCCAGTGCATCTTCCTCGCCGTCCGACTCTCGAGCGCCTTGCGCGTGGGGATTTGCCGGGGGAGGCTGCGAGGGACCCTGGATCATCACTAGCCATGTTCCCCGTTGGCGTGCAGTAGCGTACTTTGTGCGCTACACGCTTCCAGTCGCTGCACTGCGCTTGCTCACCTTCCAGGATCACCAGACTGTTTCTTCTCAGGTTCCTCCTCCGTCGCCGGCTGGCGGAGAGGACCTTTCCGCTACTCGAATCTGAACATCCACACTCAATTTTGTTTGTCTGGGTCAAGATGCCCTTCGCAAATGTCGAGGACCCCGTCCCGCCCGCCAAAGTGCGGCGGTGAATCGGACACAAGGCAATTGGCGCCGTGGCTTGCCGTGTTGGCGCGCGTCCACGAGGGGCCACGAGTCAAGCATGTCGACTCAATTGACTTTTGCCGCAGTGCTCAGTGATCACTACCTTAAGGAACCTTACACGTGTAGCCGAGCAAACATGCGGCAGGCAGGGTCCTTTGACGAGATGACAGCACTTTGCCTGAGACTTCCTGGCATTCCAGCAACAAGAGACGGACCATCGCATCGACCATGGACCTTGAGATGGGTTAGAGTTGACAACCGCTGCCGCCGGCTCCAAGACTGGCTCGACTTGGCTACAGCCGCTCAAACACCATTGGAGGGACCTTCAGGTTTCGTCCACGGGGCGGGCATCACTAAGCGGCCGGCCTCCACGCCTTCCATGGGACATGGCTGGTCTACGGAGGTCTACGGATAGTGGTCAAGGTTGAAGAGTCAAGGGTGCCTGCCGCTTCGGGCGATTTGCAGATTATCCGATTTGCTCCAATATGGATGGATACTGAGGTGCATCCATCCGTCCTCCACATGGGCAGCGATTGACACTTCGGATTCCTGACCTGTCCGGACTCTTGTCGACATGGCGATCGAGCGTCGAGCCTTGAGCCTCGGGGGGCCTGCCTCGGGTCCTGTCCTGAGCTGCCATCAAGCGAGCTGCGCTGCGAGCTGCCGGGTCGTCTGATGGCGATGGTGATGATGACGAGGATAGTCGTCGGCCCTTTCAGCCTCACAAGTGCGTCAAGATCGACAGGTGGTGTGCTGAAGTTCAGGTCCAGGCACGCACACACGCTGTCCATATATGCTGGACCCTGCCTATTGAGCGACGGGCTGAAGTTCACTGGCACGGGGGGGACAAGGACAGACAGATTCATCGGATCGTGGCCGTGCGCGTGCGCGTGCAAATCAAGATGAAGATGAAGAAAGAAGACACACAAGAAACAGCAGCCAGGCAGTCCAACGATGCGATGCGGAAAAGCCGCGACGTCGACGTCGTCTCAGTGCTCGGCCGTTGAAGGATCCTTGCGACGCCTCGCCGGGATCTGGGTCCCATTCTCCAGTCGCCCTGCATAACTCCAGACCTGGTCGTTCCACCAAATGCAACCAACGACCGAGTTTTGGGTTTCGAAGCTCTGGCAGCTTGAGCCTTACCCTTTTGAGGAGCAGCGCCGGGCAGAGGATGACGAGGCCACCCCCGATCGCTGTCCTGTGGTCACTCTTGCGCCGTGCGCCGGGCGGCTTAGTAGCGCATGTAGGGGCGGCCCTCGCAGAAAGACGCTGTTTGGCCGTCATGGCAATATACT